AAAATCCTAAATTTCATTTAGGCTGTTCGTAAGCCACGCGATGGCAAAGACACTAAGCTCAGGCTCGCCCCCGGCGCGGCCCCCACCGCGCCGGCTTCGTGCAGCCTGGGTTACGGGGAACGCTGACCCTCCCGGACACTCCGCCCCTGGGTCTGGGGTACGCCACTGTCCCTCCCCTCTCGGGTCGCCAACGCCCGCATCACCTCCTCCATCTCCCGGCCCTTCCGTTTCCTCCACGACCTCCCCCACCCACACGAGAAATCTCCCTCCCCTCGGGCTGGCAGCAAGGTCGGTAATAAGAAACCAGTTCAGTGTCAGTCGGAGAGAGGAGGGAGATAACCCCAGAGATACACGGCAATGGAGAGAGAACTCATTTTGTGTAAAGAGGGCCTCGAGTCACCAGGGAATTCCTGGATTGTCTCAGGCTGTCGTGTGTGATGTCCATCACGCCGTGCGCACACCATCTGCTCGGTATTATGCTCTCAGTTGCCAGGCTACCTGCTATACGCAGTAACACTTGACTGCCTGGCTCCACGCTCGTAGCGTTAGCCCAGACGCGCGGGGCCGGGGGGACCGGGTGGGGGAGGAAGGCGAGTCCTGATTAAGCCATCTGCAGGCTGGGAGGGGGGCGGGGGGGACGCGCCGCGCGGGCGGAGCGGGCGGGCTGGCGGCGAGGACCGGGCTGACACCACCATCTGCTGGGGCCGAGGAGGAACAGCAGCTGTTCCTTGTTTCCCCCGACGCGAGCACCTGAAACAAACGCCGAAGCCCTGAGCATCCTCCTGCCAGTTCTCCACTAAGCCCCGGCAGCCCAGTCCCAGTCACCGCCGGAAGCCTCTTGCAATCCCCCTCCGAGGAGCCAGCAGTCTTTGGTCCACCGCCAGCAACCCCGGCCCCTCTCACCCAAACACGAGGCATGTTCTTGAAAACACGTAAGAGAAAATAAAGCTTCCTTACGCACAGGTTTATAAACAAACAGCTGGCTACTCTTGAGAGATTTTTACCACAGCTGCTTTTTGAAGTAAAACCTGCCTCTTTGGGGGAAGTGGGGTGTTTTTTACACCTCTTACCTATCTGCAGCCCTTAGAAAATTGCTAAGATCTTTTCCCTGGAAGAGAAGATATGTAAAATAGGTTCATTGGTTTTGAATTTTTTTCCCCCCTCCCTTTATTTTACTGAAGAGTGAGAGCTTTGGGGAGTAGTGAAGATCTTTGTAGTCAATTGGATTTCTGAGAGGAAGAGGCTGAATTAAGATTCTGGGTAGAAGGCAAGGGAGGTCGTTGGGCAGGGGGTGGAGGGGAGAGCAAGCTAGTAATTAAAACTAAAAATACTGCATCATTTGGCTTCAAGGCATTACGTTTCTGGTGACGAAAGCCCAGCCTGGTTTTCTCTGATTGCACGCACAGTGTGTGTCCTCCTTAGAAATAAGAGCGGGGGCTTGAAATTCTGAAATTCGACAGACTAATGCTCATTAAGCCCTCTTAGACTGGGGGTTAAAATCCACCATGTCACATGCATCAGCTAATGGCCTCAGCCAGCTCAATTTGTAAGGTGTCACTCGGCGCGTCTTCACACTTGGCATACACACCTGAGGCTGGGGCTCTGGGTGTCACCCGCTGTTGAATGCAGCAGAGCTGGTTGGGAAAGAG